GACCGAGCGAGGCGGAAGGGGCCATCTAGTCTGACCCCAGCTCCGGCCAGCTCCACTTACAGAAACAGGGAGACCGAGCGAGGCGGAAGGGGCCATCTAGTCTGACCCCAGCTCCGGCCAGCTCCACTTACAGAAACAGGGAGACCGAGCGAGGCGGAAGGGGCCATCTAGTCTGACCCCAGCTCCGGCCAGCTCCACTTACAGAAACAGGGAGACCGAGTGAGGCGGAAGGGGCCATCTAGTCTGACCCCAGCTCCGGCCAGCTCCACTTATAGAAACAGGGAGACCGAGCGAGGCAGAAGGGGCCATCTAGTCTGACCCCAGCTCTAGCCAGTTCTGCTCGCAGTGTGCCTACCATGTGCATGTCCGGCCTGTCTTTGAACACCCTCACCGATCGGACCTCAACCACCTCCCGTGGAAGCCCATTTCACACCCTCGGGGTCCCGACTGTCAGGAAGGACTTCCTGGCATCCAAACTGAACCTTCGTTCCCTGAGCTTGGCTCTGTTGCAGTGCATCCTTCCCTCCTCTGCAGGGGAGAGCAGGTCTCTCTCCACCTCCGTGGGACACCCCCTCATGAACCTGCATGTTGCCAAGAGATCCCCTCAGCGTCTCCTCTTCTCCAGGCTGAAAAGACCCCATTCCCTCAGCCCCGCCTCATACAGCTTCCCCACAGCCTGGCCCCCCTCTTTAAATGCCTTCTCTCCCTCTCTCTCTTTCCAGGCGAGTGGGAAGATGCTCACAGCCCCGTAGAACAATGCCCCACGCAACACCCTGCTGTGTCCCTCTTCTCCTGGTTTTTCCCTGCGTCCTGCTCAGCACCGCCCGTGTCTCCACCTGCCCGGCACGCTGCGAGTGCATCCCTCAGCTCCGGGCAGTCTCCTGCCCCCGTAGGCGCCTCTCCACTATCCCCGAGGGCATCCCAACTGAGACCAAGGCCCTGGACCTCAGCAAGAACCGCCTGCGGTGCCTCAATGCTGGGGACCTCTCCCCCTTCCCACTCCTGGAGCACCTGGACGTCAGCGAGAACATCCTGGCCCACGTGGAGCCGGGTGCCTTTGGCAACCTCCTCAGCCTCCAGACCCTGCGGCTGCGTGGGAACCACCTCAAGCTGCTGCCCCCCGGCGTCTTCAGCAAGCTGTCCAACCTCACCCTCTTAGACATCAGTGAGAACAAGCTCGTCGTCCTTCTGGACTACACCTTCCAAGACCTCCGGAGCCTGAAGAGCTTGGAGGTTGGGGACAATGACTTGGTCTTCATCTCCCGGAAGGCCTTCTATGGCTTGGTGGGCCTCCAGAAGTTGGCCCTCGAGAGATGCAACCTCACGAGCATCTCTTCCGAGGCCCTCTCCCGACTCCCCAGCATGGAGGAGCTGCATCTACGGCAGCTGAGCTTCTCCTTGGTGGAGAACCAGAACTTCAGGAAGCTCCACAGGCTCTGGTTGCTGGAGATTGATAACTGTCCGTTTCTGGAGGAGATCTCCTCAGGTGGCTTCCAGGGGCTGAACCTCACCTCCCTCTTCATCACCTACACCAACATCACAGCCGTGCCCACGCCCGCCCTGAGGTCCCTGGTGCACCTCATGTACCTCAACCTGTCCTACAACCCCATCTCCACGGTCCACAAGGGGGCCTTCAAAGACCTCATCCGCCTACGGGAGCTGCACCTGGTGGGTGTTCTCCTGCTATCTGTTGAGCCCCAGGCCCTGTCTGGCCTGCGGCAGCTCCGCCTCCTCAACCTCTCCAACAACCTCTTGTCAACCTTGGAGGAGAGCGTCTTCCACTCCGTCAACACCTTGGAAACCCTTCGCGCTGACCGGAATCCCTTGATCTGCGACTGCCGACTGCTGTGGATCCTCCAGCGTCGGAAGACGCTGAACTTCGACGGGCAACCGCCCACATGCATTTCCCCCCCGGAGGTCCGGGGTGATGCCCTCCGTGACTTCCCTGACTCAGTTCTCTTTGAGTTCTTCACCTGCCAGAAGCCCAAGATCAGGGACCGAAACCTTCAGCATGTCACGGCCTATGAAGGCCAGGCCGTGTCCTTCATGTGCCGGGCGGATGGAGAGCCCGTCCCATCCATCAGCTGGGTGTCCCCTCAGCACCGCATGATCCCAGCCAGGAGCTCCGGGCGGACCGCTGTCCTGCCCAGCGGGAACTTGGAGATCCGCTATGCCCAGGTCCAGGACAGCGGGACCTACATCTGTGTGGCCACCAATCCCGGCGGCAACGACACGTACTTTGCCACCCTGACAGTCCGGGGCCCCGCTGCGGATGGGCCCCCGCTCACCAACCGCTCCCTGTACCTGGGGGAGCTCAACGACAGTGCCCGCAACGAGAGCCAGGTGGTCCTGAAGTTCACGCTGGACCTCACCACCATCCTGGTCTCCACTGCCATGGGGTGCATCACCTTTCTGGGGGTAGTCCTCTTTTGCTTCCTCCTCCTCTTCGTCTGGAGCCGGGGCCGGGGGCAGCACAAGAACCACTTTGCAGTGGAGTATTCATTCCGCAAGGTGGATGGCCCAGCCACGGCGGCAGGGCAGGGGGGCGCCAGGAAGTTCAACATGAAGATGATCTGAGCCCCGGAAACGGGGGCCTCGGAATGGGGGCTCCGCTGCAGAGGAGATGGGGGTCCGGGCAATGGCGCCTCAGAAGGAGACGGTCGGGGAGGCTCCGGGGGCCGTTCCGGGTGCAGGTGTGGACTGGACCCATGGCAGCCCCCATGGCAGCCCTCACAGGGGTCTTTAGCAAAATGCTGTCTGCACAGGGGCGCCCCATGGAGTGGGCCATCCCGACCCCCTGCAACGCAGCCCCCCAGCCTGGCCGGGTCTGGAGCGGGGCCCTGCCCGGGAGGACGGGGGCATCTGCCGCAGACCCCGAATGGTTCCTGGGCGGCAGTTCCATGTCAGCCCCACTCCCATCCACAGTGAGGCACACGTGGGCCCAGTTTGGGGGTCTGCAGCCCACTCTGGGGTGGGGGCACCCCCTATGCACTTCTCAAACAGGCAGGGCATTACGTCTGGGCTTTGGGTCTCACCCTGTCACCGGTTTTTTACGGGACAGCTTTGAAACACCGGGGTCCCACCGAGGGGGGGTCTTTCTATGCTGTTTTCTAATCTGGCAGCACGGCCGACGGTCTTCCAGGTGGTGGGGGCCACAGGGACCCCCACATCCTCTTAGCTGATTTGGCAGCAGGGCTTTGGCTGGGGAGTACCATGCCCTTAAGAGCCCCTTTCCACGTTCCTAATACGGGCATCGGTGGGAGGGTTCATTAGCATCGAGGGCACCCGAGACTTCCCACCACAAAGCAATAATGTGCGTCTCCTGTGCGTGGGGGGGGGGTGCACTTCCCCCAGTGGCCAAGGGGAAAGTGCAGAGTAGGAAAAGCACAGCCCTGCAGCAGAGGACGTGCTTCCGCTCCTCCATGCTGGGAAGAAACACGGAACCCAAGCAAGGCAGAAGGGGTCTCCCAGGCCATCTAGTCTGACCCCGCTTCCAGCTGACTCCGCTCAGAGAGGCATAGAAACCAAAGGGGACGATGGGGGGGCTCGCCCTCCCCGTGGCCTTTCTGCATTCAGCCCATCACCCCCAGCCTGCAACGGGGCCGAATCCCAGCGATACCAGCACCTGGGGCAGCCGCCCTGACCAAGTCAAAAGCAGGTGTGAGGCGGGTGCAGAACGCCTCCCCTTCGCGCCCTCCTGGCTTTGCTGTTCACAGGCTCAGTGGCAGCAAGGAAGCCAAGCATGAGAGGGCAGCCAGAGGTCTCTTTGTACGTACCCCATTTCTCCGCCCTCCTCCCCTCTGTTCCTCGGCTTCCCGTGGGAGTCTGTGCCGCGTGGTCCATCGCTTGTGGACCGGAGAGATCCCTCCCTCGGCCCCGGCACCTGGTGCGTGACTTTGCGCCAGCTGCAGACCATGTGAGCCCCTGAACTGGGTTCCTCTTAGGATGACACGGGGAGGAGAGGTCTGTGTGAGCTGCCCGGAGACGTGGGCGAGAAACGCCTCTGTGATTCGGCATCTCTGCGGTCTGCAAAAGACCCCTGCGGCAAGCCAAAGGGCTGCACTTCACGGCTCCCGAAAGTGGTGGCCGGATGAGCAGCGTTCCCTCCTCTCCGTGCCCAAGTGGGAATGTCCGAGGGGAACGCTGTGAAGTCCCATCTCTGCCCGCCGGGAGAAGATCTGGCCTGCATGCCCCCTTGACACACCCGCCCATGCCCAAGATTTATCCCCCTGGAAATGTGTTTGTGAGGTTTAGGCCGATGTCTTCTGCCAGCATCTCCGCAGCTTCCTGGGAAAACCGAGCCAAGAGCAGCGAGGAATGCGGCAGGAGACGGTGCTTCCTGGCAGACGGACATTAGGCTTTTTATTGGATGGGGAGAGGGGAAGCAACAGCGAGGCCGGCAGGCATGAGCGCATAGCACAGTTGTGGCTTGCACGGGCCGCTCGCTTTTCCAGCAGAGCACGGGTTTCTGGCAAGCACTGCTCTGTCCGTGCAGGCCAAGCCCCAGCGGGCAATGTTGTCCTGGCCCCTTGCACCGGGGGGTTTGGTTGGTGGGCTGGAAGGGGCCCTGCATCGCACCCCAGGGAAATGACACTGGCCAGGCCAGCCTCCCCAGATGGGGTGCTGGGACTGGACTGCAGCCCCGTCGGTCCTGGGCAGCATCACTGGACGAGGAATGCCGGATCAGCTGGAGGCCGCCAGATGAGGGACTCTCCGTTTCTCCTGCAGCTCACCGTTCTTTCCATGCATCTAATTCCAGGTCCGGATGGGGTGCTGGAAAAGGCATGTGGGGTGGGTGGATTCCCAGTGAGTCGGCTGAAGGCACTCTTGGGGAAGCCCTGCCGGGGCAGAAGTGGATGAGGCTAGACCGCTGGTGCCGGGTCTTCTTGGGACACTGGCTTTGGGGGCTCCAGGGAAAGGGGCCCCTGGAGTGGGGAGGCCAGGCTGAGAAGAAGAGGAAGGGGCCCGTGGACGGCCGCCGGGGGATGCTGCGGGCAAAGCTGGGCCAGGCTCAAGCTGGCTGCCAGAGGATCCCCTGCCAGGACCCCCAGGGGCCACCCCAAATCCCAGAGCTGGAAGGCTCCTTCCACTGGGAAAACACTGCAGCCAGCAGCATAGTTGGGGAGGCTGAGTGACCGTCCTGGGGGGTTTCCTCCACTTTCCTTCCCTGCAGAGGTCTTGGCCGGGCTGGCCTGGACCAGGCCGCTGGCATCCTTAGCCCTGGGGTGCCAGTGGGCTGAGGGGTGCAGCCAGCAGCCCCCTCCAAAGAAAGGAGATGCAAACACCAGGAGGAAAAGCGAAGGCTCAGAGGCAAAGGCTGTGGCTGCATCCCCCAGTTTGTTTGTTTGTCTATTTATTAATTTATTAAAACATTTCTGTGCCGCCCCATTCGCCGAAGCCCAGTTGGTGTCGGACTAAACTCCTCCGCAAGAAACTTGTCCTGCCTGAGAAATCCAGAAATGGAGACAGAATAGTTCAGCTGGGGATCACATCCCTACGAGTTCTCCCCTCTAGCAAAGGGATTTAAACACACCCAGGAAGCAAAGAAGAACAAGCTGGTGGAGAAATGCCCCCCCGCCACCCTGCCTGGGTGTAGAATAACAGGTCTAAATGAATCGGGGGCGGGGGGGGCACAACAGCACAGAAGCCAGGTTTGTGGACTGGCCCCCAGGTGTGGCAAAGCTGAAGGCCCGACCCAGAAATGTTGGTCTTTGCAGGGGTGCCGAAGTCACCTGCTACCCCTCGCCTCTGAGCCAAGGTGCTTGCTGAGATTTTCTCAGCAAAAGAAGGTCTTTCCCCCTGTTGTGGTGTAAAATATTGGGGGAGAATTGTTCTGGACGGGCCATCATGACCCATCTGCCTTGCACAAGTCCTGGTCCTGGGATGCGTCGGGAAATGCCTGGATTTCTGCATTCCCTTGGGGGCCAAGCCAGGGAAGTTCAGGAGGAGGAGAGGGGGGATGCCACCACCCTGCTGGAGGGATCCTTCCCCTCGGGACCCCTTCTCCAAATATGTGGTGTGTCCTTCAGCATCCCACCTCCTACCCAAGTGACAGATCCTCGGATCTAGGGAAGGAACAGGCACAGAGTGGGACGACGTTACACCTTTTGCCAAAAAATAAAATTAGAAACCTGGGCAAGCACTGGGGGTTTAAATTCTTGGGCCCCCTTGAGGCCAATCTACTGGGGTTGCTGGGGCCAAGCACAGTGGCAAGAATGGAGGGGCAGAATGAAGCAAAGACATTTTCTCTGTCCCCGTTAGACGTCTCGTTTATATGCAACATGTGTATTTTTTATGTACCGATGCATGACGGATTCAGCAAATGACCGTGTATCTGTGCGACACACTCTTGCCTCCTGTGTGGTACATGCCCTTTTCTTTTTTACTCCCTTTCCTGCCGCACACGCATGCGGAGAGATGAGATGGGTCAGGGAATCAGAAATGTACATCTTGGGAAGTCGTTAAGGACCGGATACAAATACTGTACCTACAACAAATTAAATGAATGGGGATGCCGGGTTGCAGATGTTGCACCGTGAGAAACTGCGGGCAAAAACACCACAGACGCTGCATTGCTTTGGCAAAGACTCCACGGTCCCGCCCAGCCTTGCTCTGCTGGAGCTCGGGGCAAATGGGTCTTGTGGCCGACACACGCCTGTTCCGGGCTTGCGTGTTTGCCTACACGCTCCTGCAAAGATGAGGCCCTGATGGTGCTGCGAAAGTGGTTTGCATCGGTCCCTCTTCCACCTGTTTGCTTTGCAACCGTGTTTCCCCAAAAATGAAACTGGGTCTTAGGTTAATTTTTGCTCCAAAAGATGCCTCAGGGCTTATTTTCAGGAGATGTCTTATTTTTTCCTTCGAGAGCCATGAGATTCCCGCCCTGAGAGACCTCTACAATCCCTTTCTTGTCCTCAATGGAATCACTCGTTCTTTTGCACCCATCTCATCGGGGGGGTTGGGGGTCGAAATATGGTTCCCTTTAAAGCTACCGTGAAATCGGGTGTTCATTGAAGCCGTGAGAGGCAGGAGTGGCAACACACAAGTGCATGAAGCACGTCTGTCACGACACACAACGTATCAAATTCTGAAACACGCTCGTTCGTTCTGAAGTTCGCACATTATTTCTGTGTCTGTCCTCTGATTGGTCATTCGGCAATGAGCCTCGTGTTCATCTGTTTCGATAGGCGTTCACCTCTTGTCCAAAAGCGCCCGCTTGGATATTTGCAAATACTTGATTATAATGTATATTATCCTTTATTTTAAGTATAGAAACACAGAAACGGAGCGAGTCAGAAGGGGGATCATGGGCCATCTAGTCTGACCCCCGGCTCCAGCCGGCTCCGCTCATGACATGCCCACCATGTGCACGTCCAGCCTGTCCTTGAACACCCTCATCGATGGGGCCTCAACCGCCTCCCGGGGAAGCCCATTCCACACCCTCGGGGTCCCGACTGTCAGGAAGTGCTTCCTGGCGTCTAAATTGTACTTGGTTCCTTGAGCTTGACCATTAGAGTGCATCTGCAGGGGAGGTCTCTCCCCACCTCTGTTGGACACCCCCCCATGGCCTGAGATGTTGC